TAGAAAGCTGTCAGAACCCGAAAGGGCTCTTCCGGTTGGTGACAGGGAATGAGTGAAATGAAGTGCCAAAGTATCTCTCAGGGTAGGACCCTGGACATGCCTGCCTCTCCCCGGGCCCTGTGTCTTTGCAGGTTTTCGCAACAGAGCCTGCAGCAAACACCCATGATGGGCGCCCTGACCCCGCTGGGCACCCAGGGCGTGCAGGCTGCCGTGCGCTCGGCCTCCATCGTGCCTGAGCAGCAGCCACAGCCGCAGCCGCAGCCGCAGCCGCAACAACAGTACCACATCCGGCAGCAGCAGCAGCAGCAGCTCCTGCGGGTAAGGCCCGGGGACTTCATCGAACCCGGGAGCCCGGCAGCCACCCCGGCTCCTCCAAGCTGTCATCCGGACTGACTGTGGCACTGCCCGAAAAGCACCTAGCACACTGGCTGGCACGCGCTGGGGCTAGGAAGTCACTCCCCCTGGTTTCTGGGGGTCCTGCTGGGACAGAGTTGGGGCTTGTCTGGGATCCTCTAGATTGGGTTTCTGTGTCTGTAGTTTCTGAGGAGGGAGGGTGGTGCACCCAGACTTTTCTTCCTGCTGCTGCTTCCCCACTGCCATGCCTCCACCTGGCCACCCCAGTGCTCAGCTACTTTGCTCTCCTTCAAGTATCTTGTGTGTTCTCGTAGCAGCAGCAGCAGCAACAGCAGCAGCAGCAGCAGCAACAACAACAACAACAGCAGCAGCAGCAGCAACAACAACAACAAGCACACCAGCAGCAGCAGCAGCAACAGCAGCAACAGCAACAGCAGCAGGCGGCTCCACCCCAGCCGCAGCCCCAGCCCCAGTCCCAGCCCCAGGTACCTGCAGGCTCAGGGACAGTTGCCCAGCTTGGGCACACAGAGAGTGAACTGGGTTGGGGACAGCGTGCCATGGGGCGGAGGGGGGCGGCAGAGCACGGCACTCTAAAAAGGGGTCAGGACATAAGGATGGACCAGGAAGAGGAAGGTTCTAAGTAGAAAGTTCGAGTTCAGTGTCCCACTGGCCATCTCCACCTCAGTTCCAGCGCCAGGGGCTTCAGCAGACGCAGCAACAGCAACAGACAGCAGCTTTGGTCCGGCAGCTGCAACAACAGCTCTCCAGTAAGCCTGCCTCCCTGCCCAGGAAAGCCCCATGGAATGAATGGGGGGGGGCAAGTAGCCGAGGTTGTGGGGGGCAGCCTTGCACTCCATCCCTTCCCCTGGCACCGGAATGGCTCTCCACATGCTTGGCCTCCCTGATCCTCTGGTTTTTCACAGATACCCAGCCACAGCCCAGCACCAACATATTTGGACGCTACTGAGCCACCTGGAGAAGCAGCTTGTGCACTGGATGTGGCCCCACCCTTTCCTCTGAACCCCCACTTCCCTTACCGGGGTAGCATCAGGACTGGTTGGGGCTCTTCCCTCAGGCTCCATTTTGAATGAATTTTTCGTATTTTTGTTAATGTCAGACATGGAGCTGTTGGGTTTTGTATATTATTTATATAGAGACCCCGGAGCTGTTGCACCCAATACACAGAGCTTCTTTGCAAAGGGCGCCTGTGACTTCTGCATGTCTGGGAAGGGTGGGCCTGCGGGAGCTGAGAGCCTTCGTTCTGATCACTTTGTCTCCCTACTTCCCTTTTACCCCCCTAAATGTCTCAGTTCAATTTGGATTTCTACACTCTCTTCCCTTCACCAAACGGGCACCATATTACAGTTTGGGCCCTTCGTCTCTTCACAAGGGCAGCTGACCTGAGCTAGATCACACAGCTTCTGGGCAGCTTTTCTCCACGGCAAATAGACCACTGGGATGGGGGCGGGGCCGCCACGCCAGAGGAAGAATCCATGGAACCTGATTCGCGTCCTCCCACCCATCCCTCACGTATGCGGGGTTTGGAACTGGCTTCAGGGTGGATGGGGTGTCAGACACTGCCTACCCTTTTCGCCACCTTGTGTGGTCCTCATCATGCACAGAGCCATATCCTAGGCTGAGACCTTCCCTGAGGGTTACGTTTCTGGGGTGAAAACTGCCCTCCACTCAGAAATGTCACCATCAAGCAGGTGGTGAGAGGCTGGTGGGGTTCCAGGAGGAAGAGAGACCAGTAAAAGGAAGCATCCTTTTCTCTGTGCTCTGCTGCTGGGACTCCTTGTTTTCACACGACCCACCTTAGCAGTTACCCAGGGTAACTTGCTCACTCCTACTTTACAGTAGAGAGAACTCAAAACTGTTGCTCCAGAGTCACAGTTGGAACTGTGCAGGGCCATTCTGAGCCACCTTGCCTTCAGGTTGGGGGCCCTAGATCTGAGGCTCCCGGAGAGCCAGCTGCTTCACTGCAGTGGAGTCTTCTTCCGGTGTGCCAGCTGAGGCTGGAAGAGCATCAGCCTCAGCCTGATCCTGTTCATGGGCAGGTGGCACAGGTTGACTTGACAACTTCAGGATAACATCCAAGCCATAATCACACTGTATCTCTGGGAAGGGTCAAGCGTGCCGGGTAAACCAGGAGTGGCAATCCGTACCCAGGTTATCAAAAATTTTAAAAGTACAATAAACGCCCTCTTTGTGGTCCACAAAGTGTGGGACTTAGCAAGTTTAAGAGTTGTGTGCTCAAGGAATAGAGCTCCCCGACAGGGCAAAGGCAAACATAACTGCAGCTTTCTCCTGCCGTGCTCTATCCTGATGATCAAACGAGGAGGACAAAAAAAGGGGGAGAGGCTTGGCTGCATAACGGACACTCAGAGGGGCTTGGGGTCGGGGGTGGGGCTACACAAACTGGACAGGTGCACCACATAGAGAACACGGCAGAGACAGCCAGATCTGGAGGGAGGGAGAGACAAGTGGGACGACTGGCATGCTGGCAGTCGGATGCTCCCATGCTCCCGGTGAAAGGAACAGCATTGACCTTTGGGATAGTGTCAGGATGAAGGCAAAGTGCCCCCCACTGGTACACGTGCTGAGGACAGGTGAGGGGTGCTGAATGAGGTGGAGGCAGGTCTTTGTGGAGTATGATGGGGCTCCTGCAGGCAGTGCCTCAGTTTCTCCCTTTGTCTCAAGGTCTCGAGCTTTGCAGGTAAAGTTTGGACTAGCTGCCCTGGAAGGTCACCTGTTTGTGATTTGAGGGTGTGTGTGTGTGTGTGTGTGTGTGTGTGTGTGTGTGTGTGTGTGTGACAGCATGGAAGGAATTGGGCCATGCCCCAGGACTTGAGCCATCTCTGGCACAAAAGGAGTTAATGGCAGGGACCGCGCCCCCCCGTGTCCGGGCACGCGCAGCGCGCCCCCTCGGTGCGCGGGCACAGCAGCCAGGCTGCCGGAGAGCAGATCTCGGGAATTCGGGTGCGGAGCCCTTGGCCTGGAGGCGATATGGGTGGTCCGCTGCCCGGTTCAGTCGCTCGCAACAGCCCGGGGAACAGGTGAGGCCGCCTGCCCCGGTCTCTCATCCTTTAGCTGCCCGTACCTTGCCCTGAACCGATCCCCTCCCAATCCTGGGCTCCTCCACTCTCCAGCCAGCGCTTGCCATCCTTCTCAACCCCATGTTCTCCATCGGCACCCCTGACCCACGGTCCTCACCCGCTCCCCTTCCCCACTCCACATCCTCGCTGAAACCCGCATCCTTATCATCCACAGCCCGGCCGGTATGCTCATCAAAATACCCCTAATGAGGGCCCCCAGCCCCATCCCTGTATTGCACATTGCCAGGCCCCCCTCCCCCGCAGTGCAGCCCCATCCCTCTTCCATCACAGCCAGG